AGGCCTTACTCAAGATGCCTAGGACTTCCTGACGAGGGTGTATAGCTGTGCGCTATCGTCTACGTTTGACACACCCTGGGTCAGGGTCGACGCCCTGTGTCCTGTAAATAACATATGGCCTCGCCGTCTTCTCTCTATGAAGGTCTTACGTCTAATCGAGACCAGTGGGAAGACGCACTCGGCGTCGTCTAGTGCCCCACTACCTGCTCAATTGGAGCTTTTTTAATTGACTGAAAATGCCATAAAAACACCAAAATCGCCTATATTTCGGCAAAATGGCAAAACGACCAGGTAATATTAGGTATTTGCGTGTAATAACAACATTTGATGAATAGCTGCTAGTTCCAGAGTCTTCGTCCGGTGGATAACGTGCCACTTCACGCGCATCTGAAGGGCCTTGCCCAAACTTTTTCGGACCTCTTCCGATTATGACATTCTTGGCATGTAGTAATTGCTTCAAAGCGTGAACAGTGCTCAGTGAATTACCTGTCACTTCACGTGCATCACTGGGTTCTCGAGCGGGAGCGGTGTGTTGCGCTCGGTCGCCGAAGGTTTGGATGTAATTCCCGTGAAGCCGCGGATGTACTGTCCGGAGATGCACCCTGTGCAGAAGTAGAAGGGATTTGCCCGCGATCGCCCTCGGAACCAGCTGGGCTGGGTGTTTTGCGTGGCATAGACACAGGTCTTATAGAGCAGAGAATGTTTAAGGACGTTCTTGAGACGTGACGGTGTCTCAGATACGCGAGCCTCGTATGAGGCGTCAATTAAATGTGAATTGTGGATTAATGGGGGAGAGTGTGACGGGGTTACACGTACCCCGGTCACACAGGATGGTGTGACCGTACATAGGTGTGAATTAGACTAGTTGGTGTAATCACACAGTGGTGTGGCTACACCGTAACAAGAAGCACTTCGTGTCAGGATTGGCAGTAGTAATGCATATTAAATATGTTTTACTATACTAATTAGGTATCACTATACTAATTGGGAAATTCTAAGGTCATAGATATTGGCGGCGGCTCTGCCACGACAAAAACAATTAGATACAGCTTCGTATCCGCTACACTCGTATTTGGCACTTAAAAAGAACGTAAGGTCGGTGACCTAAGCTTATCTTCCTCTGCGCAAAGAGCTACGGCAGCCCCGCTGTACATTTGCCCCGAAACTCTTTTCCTACGCTTGCTGTAATGAAGATTTAGCTAAATTGAATTATAAAAGGCATATGGCTTGGTGAATATTAGGAATTGGTGACCCAATAAGCATGAACCATGTCAGAAGGTTAAACTCTCGCCGCATGTGTCGACGCCCATACCCACCTTTCCGGTTCCGGCAAGTCTTCCGAAATACGCGTTGTGTAATGCCGGCGTTGCGGTCTATTAAACCATCTGAGCAAGATACACATCTTGCTGCTGTCAATTATAGAACTATCGATGAACATACAGCACAGTTGCTCTTTAATTAAGTTCTTCGTTAATATGGTTGCCGGTGGTCATTGCGTCAGATAGAGATCCGCAGGGTACCAGGCACTAGATCGGACATGGCCACCACTACTCATCCGTAAATAGATGGCCAGACGAAATGTATAAATCGCGTGGTGGGAGACCCTCTGAAGCACTTGCGTAGGTCGACTGCGCTGCTCGCTCGAAGTGCTCCCACTCAGCAAGATTGCGCTGTAGATTATATTTATCGTAACAAAAGCAGTGATTTGATCGCGGTGAGATTGATCGTAATCCACAGGGTGTGCGACGCTGTGGCTGAGAGTATGGATGTTCAAAAATATCATGTAGGTGCGAGAGGCAGACAGTAAGCGTATGAATATGTAGTGTGGGAGGTAACTGTAAAAACTACATTTACTTTCAGTGTTTATGTATTAAGTCGGACGATAGTGAGAAAGGAGATTAGTTTTTCTTTTGTTACCCGAAATACACATCCTGTGTTATGCGGGGGGCGTGCTAAAGCCATATAACGATCCCGCTTTTTCAAGCCAGTCAAATGTGGAACGGTCATTTGAAGAGAGAGCTGCGTCTCCACGATCTCCTATAGCTGGCCACCCTCTGCCTTAGGGCAGCATTAGGTGCTAAATTACTTTTGAATTTAATTAACAATCCAGTTTGCATATAAAATGCGGCAAACTCTATTAAATAAGCGAAAAAATCTCATCTATCTGCGCTATGATTCTTTTCGTAGTATCTTGTGGTGTCTTTGTGCGCTTCATCCCACCACGACGTTGCTAAATAATTTCAAGAATCATGCCAGAATGGCCGCTGTATTCTTTGGTGTCCAGCCTTTATCGATAATAATCTTTAGACAAACAACGACGCTTTCATATTCGATATCATTCACGACCGCTAAGCCACACATGATTTTGAAGACGATAGCTCACTAAGGACCACCTCCTGTTTCCTTAAGGCTTTTCTTTGAAACTCGCGGTGATTTGGGCGCGAAAGCATATACAAATAAGTTGTTGCTATGAGCCAAAAGTCAAAGAGCAGCATTGTGCATATGCAGCCATTTTAAAAACAGGAAGTCGATCTTGATGGATGACCCTTCATTGAACAGATCCGTGTTCTATCTGCGAAAACGATTGCATGCATTTTCAACTTTCTTAACAAAGTCACGATGTCGTTATATGTGGTTTTGCAATTGAATGCCGTGATCAGCAATCGAATCCAGCCAAACCTTATCTTCACAAAATTGAAGAGCAAGAGCTCAATTGGGGTTTGATTTACTTTGACCGTGTTTGCTTCTATCCTTATAAGAGATTCAAAGTTCCGTGCCTCAACGTTCGTACCATTGTTACTTTGTTCATCGATTCTGTGATACACCGTCGGCCCACCAATTTTTATCCGATCGATGAGTGCACTGGTGCTGATCCTACTCGGCTTGTCTTTAGGCAGCGGTAATATTTCCTTGAGTTTAAAAATTCTTGATCCCGTCGTCGCCAATCGATCATATCACATAATTGCACAGCTTTTGCAGCATTTCATCTGGATTCTTACGGCGTGATCTTGTCCAAGAAGAATAATTTCTTTTCTTACCATTCAAAATCAAGACAAAGATACAAGAGTCCAGCTACGTATTAAAACAGAACCAATCGACTTCTTGTTGGTACTCTACGACGTCATCTTCAGTCACACAGCCACGACACGAAATTGGCATCATTGTTCGTTGTGACGCTAAATGTGGACTACGCGAAATCGTCTCGACGCTAAACTGAGCGATTAAAAGGCGTAGAAAATATTGATTTGGTAGGCTTCTGTTATCTGAATTAAAGCAAAGTGATACCATAGATGAAAAAGAATTGTCGAGCATCAGCCTTCGCTTTCGCAGACGTGGTATATGCTGCTTTACAAGTCGTAACACGCTTCAATTATAATTTTAGCGGCATTTATACTAAGCTGCTTCAGCTTTTATGGCTCCCGTGCTAATGCTGCGTCCACGGCCGTGATACTGTGGAGAGTCACCTAAGTATACTAGATACAAATCTTCTTTCTTACACACTAATTAATCACTAACAGGGTCATCTCACGTAAGCATGACATTTTTACTGTACTCCTACCGGTACAGTACCGTAAGAGCTTTGATCTTACGCGCGGCTGGCAATCATCGTGCGTAATCCTCCGTACATGTCGTCAAGTTGCTATGAGACTTGAGGTTGTACAGCTCAGACAAAGAAGAGGGTTTACAATCATTGCAGGAAGAGCGATTTGCACGTTGGATACATGTCCATGTGTTACGACAAGAAAAATACACTCTTTCATAAATTTGGCATTTCCTCTATCGGCCAGGGCATGTGTCGTGTTACATAATTTACATCGATCCCAAGCTTCGTTACTTTAATATTCTAGGCTATGCGCATTCGCTTGGCACGCTGCTCGTTGTCGCTATCATCGGTCTCTTTATCACCTTTACCACTATTTTTTTGCTTCGACAGCGCAGTGTTTGTTGTCGCAGTTTCAGTAAAGCTGTCGCCATTTGAGTGCATCATGAGTGCATTAAGAACGCACGGGTACTGACTTTGCTTCGCGTGCGCATCAATCTGATTGAGCGTAACATTAACAACAGCACGAATGGTCTCGCGGCCTACGCTCGTGTTAAGAATCTGCTCCTTTGGCAACGGTCGGTGCTCTTGTTTGAGCAGTAGCGCCGAATTAAGTGTGCGCACAGCGTAACTACCGGAAAAGGCCTTACGGAACTGGAACCGACAGCTTGGACACGTACTTCGCAACTTGAGCCACGAGCTTATACATAATAGATGAAACTGGTGGCCGCAAGGCAGCAATACGAATTTTCCATCACCACTCTCGAGGCCACTCAAGCAGATAACACAATCCTGTGCACACGTAGAGCTGACGGCTACCTTGCATATTGCGCGCTTGGCGCCCACCTTAAGAGTATTGTTTTTATTGACAATCCAGGAAGGGAGACTATCCATGACAGACTTGTCGGCAGGCGCGGCATTTCTTAAGTGCGGCGAGATATAACGAACCATGAAACGCACCCAAGCGGGTGTGCGGAACATTTGTAGCACGTCGCGAATGAGAGCATTTTCAGGCGCCACATATTGCACTTCAACGCGAACCGTGATGTCCATATTCGCAGATACTTGCTTAAAGACAGCGATGCAGTATGTAACAATGGCAGCGCAAATGATCGAATGAGGGTGCAGCGCGGGAGCGAGGAGGGCCGTTCGAAAAGAAAAGACGGTGGCGTCTCTGGACAGTACTCTCTAGACCTACACCCTAATCCCGATGACGATTATGACCGCGGTACCATGTATAAGGTCTTGCAGACTTTCAGCGGTTGCGGTACAGCAACTTTACTTGGACTGAGCTATGTTCTTACTTAAACTTTTGATTCAAATTCCTATGTAAAATATTTTCCAATACCGGTACTCTACCGTGCTGCTGTATATACAAAAGTGCTTTATAGCTCCTGCTCTGGTCCAGCGTAACGACAGCACACGTTACGAGGTTAAGTCGGAACCAGGCTTTTTCTACGTCATGTTTCAATAGTGCTGTCGCTACAAAACAGCAGAATTAAGGCAGAAAGCTGTGGATTTTTGGTGGGATCTGGCACAACAACGACATGTATAACGATACTTTTTTAACCCTGCGAGCAAGCGTCGCCATGCCGCTCGTAGATTGGTGAAGTCTCTTACAAGCAGCGAGTGAAAACGGTGATTTGTGATTGTCATTGATAGAGCTTTTCGATCAAGCAAACTGAGCTACCGCTCGCGGATTTCCAAGAATGTGCTGAGCGCGATACATGGTATATGACGACTGCGATTTAAAAAGGGTTTGCAGCTCGCTGATTGTATTTGCTGAGTTGACGTCAAAAAATGATGCATCCATCGATGTGTTCAAGAAAAATAGCAAAGAAGTCGGTCGTGGTATTCGATTTCACCGTGGTCTGGCAATGTCCCCTCTGATCCAGCTGTTATACCTGCACGTGCGAGGTGCGGTCTTAAACTTCATGTCGCGAGGGATCTTTGCTGGTTTGAGCCAGCCTGCGGGAATCTAGAAAGTCAGGTTTGGAGAAATGCATGCACATTTGCAGAGTTTATCCTCGAGCCGTATGCTTTTGCGTTGACTTCACATTGCAAACTGCCATTGGATGCAGAAATGATTTGAGAATACCATAAACATTTCCGCTATTCGGCAGAGAAGCATCGTAGTAGACGCAACGATGCTCCGTTTATTGTAACTATATTTTACGCTAAGTACAAGAAGAGACCGAACTTGTATTGTGCTGCAGTCTCATCTTCTACATGGAATTTGCAACAAGAGAGGCTTACCTTCTACTGCTCCACCGCAATCACCGGTCGCATTTCTTTACATGCGACTAAGCTCGTGTTGAACATCATTGTCGTCAACAAGCTCCATCTCTCTCGCTCAATTATGAACACGGGGGTCATAGCAGCGCCAGATCTTCATTAGATTTTTATGCGGACAAGAGCACAATGCATGTAACTGAATTGCGACGAATATTAAGGTGGTCAATGAATCAGTTTTGTCTGGACCACCTGGGTGAATTGCTTAGGCTCGATTGCAATAAAATTTACATTAAGCATGGTTGTTATGTCGCAACGGCTCTACGCGCCGCGACCCAATATCTTTCCCTCGCAGTGTGGGCGTGCAACGGCCTGATTCGCTTCGATCCGCCAAGTAGACCAACCAAAAGTCGCCGTGTGACTACATACCATACTAAGTAGGTTTGGATACGTCTGATGCACGCCCTACCGCCACAGACCAGCCAGGTGCCTTCAGCACGGCCTTACACCCACAGTTAACACAAGCCAGTTGGTATTTTGGAAATAAGAGAGTAAAAAAAGAAAGCTAAAACAGAGCATGTGAACGCGGTGAGCGCGTAGTTCTAGCTAGCTTAATGTTTCGATGACCTAAGAAGAGTCTCGAACGGATTGCCCGCTTCAAAATGCTCCATATGCGCGTACTAACTGCATCGAAATTGGGATTTCGCAACAGAATTAATTTTATCATCGTGTTGACGTTGCGAAGAGCGTTATTGTGATAAGCTTCACATTACCATACATGCGGCAGCTTTGATTGAATGCGATACTTGCGTCCAGGACGCAGCCGTCTTTGCTCCAATCACAGCGGCAGCTAATTTGAGGTATCATTTCACTTGCACGTCACTGCTGTGACTGCTGTGCCTAATGAACAAAAAACAAGCGCTGTCAATTGAAAACCATTCTAAGTAGCAAGGTAGCTATTACGAATCACAGTCAGCATGAAAACGCTCTTACGCTGCAGCGCCTGGTAGAGACGTGAATCATGCCGCATGGTCAGAGCTCTGACAGCGGTACACGGCAGAAACATGGCTACACGGTTGGCGACTCCTGCAAAGCGCCCAGATTCTATAATAGCACCGCAAGGGGTCGCACGTCACCGTTCGCACCAATATGTGATCTGGACGTATTTGCTTATAAGATGGCAAATGGTTGAAGCGCTAATGCCAAGTGAGCACAGCGCAAACATATCGGCATGAACATAAACGACGACGGGAAGATCTAGGCACATATGTGCATATGCCACGGCCGACTACTCGTCAATGCCCAGGTGACTCACCACACTGAACGAAGAAACATCCAGTGAACAGTTATTGTGCTAGGCTTTGCCAACTGCAACAGGCTACGCATTAGAGGTTAATAGTGGTGGCGTGAAGGCACTGACTTGTGATTTTTCTAGAGGATACAGGAATGTGTATACCATCAGCGTTTGGTGACAGCGATGTAAAAATAACAATTAAATTCCTTGTTTTTTGTAAGATGACATACCTGGAATTGCGAGGCTTCAGAACAGATCTTGGGTGTATACTGTTGACATTAACGCACGCAGCCCCAAGCGGAAACAATTATGACGTGATCTCTGCACCTACTACATCGCCTCGAGTACTAGAGCGTGATCTGGCGGACTTTCAAAGTTGGGACCGCCAACTGCATTCTAACATTATTGGTCATTGCAGGCTTCCAACCAAACGCCTGCGCAAGCTGATGACGTGCGACTGGATGCGTGGCGAGTGCGCGGCTGGCTGGCGTGTGGAGTTGCTAAAGAGCGTTCAGATTTGTGAAGACTGGCTGAACATCGCGTTTGCCCAATTGCCGATTCCACAGCAGCAGGAGTTTCTTAATGACGGCTTATACTTCATGGCCAAATCCAAGCGCATGACCGTACGCGAAGAACAGAAAAATGCTCGAGACCTGCAGCAGTACTTTAGCAGTAAAGAACTTGTAGATCAGGTGTTAAAGTTGGTGATGGAGCAATTGCTGGTCGAGCAGTATCAAGACGTCGTGTGGCTCGAGCCATCCTGTGGTGACGGCAGGTTCTTGACGGCACTGCTGCGAAAAGGAGCGCAGCATGTTGTCGGCTATGAAATCGACGAACGGTTGCAACGCATAGCTGAGAATAATGTTAAGCAAACTGCAAGAAATGTTGCGTGGCCGGAAAAAAGAAAACTGCAAGCGCAGGTCAATGTAGGCGATTTTCTGGCGTCCAATAGCTCGATATCTGTGGAAAAGTCTGTAGTAGTGGTTGGCAACCCGCCCTTTGGTGCAAGAGGTGATGACAAGAGGGACCTTGTGCATTGTTTCTTTCAACACGCCGCATTAGTTTGGCGTGCTCGCATCATCGCGTTTGTCGTGCCAAAAAGATGCTCTCGACCAGAATTTGTCAAGACCACGTTGCAGCTGCTCCGGGGTGACGACAATGCTGGAACGATTTGGAAGCTTTTGAAGGAAATGCCATTGCCCGATTATCGCTTCGAATTTAACACAAGCGATCAAATCAAACGTGTACGTCAACCCAGCGTATTGCAGCTCTTTGTCTGCAGGACTCAGTGAGAATTCGTTTTCAATCTGTTTGATAACTCAACAAACAAACTGTGATCGTTTAATAATCTTACTCGAAATTAATTTATATTGTCTACACGTGGAACAGATAGCAGAAAAGGTCCTATGAGTGCGTCGAACGTCATAATCAAAAAGCTGGATTAAGTCATGAGTAGTCATCAAGGCGTGTGGCAACGTGTACAGGATGCGCAGGGGCGCTACTTTTACGTCAACCACGCTACTCGTGAGACGTCATGGCATCTGCCCACAGCTGAGCCATTACCACCTGGCTGGGAAGAACTCATAGACGGCCAGGGACGTGTCTACTTTGTAGACCACAAAACGCGGACCACCACGTGGATGGACCCGCGTGTAGCCGCTGCTCGACGCCG